TATCACAATTGAACGTGAAGGACAATAACGCCGTGGCGGTGCACATGCGACTCGCCGAGGCGGAGATGCGGGCGTTGTCAAAGCAGCAGCGCCTTCTTGAGCGCTTCGCCGCACAGTCTACCGCGGAGCGCCGCACTTCTGCCGCTGAAAGACGACACTGTGCTTTGAACCGCCGTGAGGAGCTTCTCCAGCAGTTGCGGCTGCTCCGAAACGGTGATGCATCGTCGCTGTCGCCTGCCGACCGCGCGAGGCAGTGGTCTGCGATATACAGTGAGCTAGCACAGCGCCGTGAGAAGCTCTCACACATCTTGTCCTGCCCTTCCACCGCGGTGCAGCGGGCAAATGTTGCTGACGCAGCAGACTCCTGGGCGCCCTTTGCCGCTGCCACCCGTCACTTCATCGCGTCGCTGGCGAAAGCGGAACAGCCGGACGCACCGGTGTCGCCCTCCCGCGCGCTCAACACCCAGCTGGAGCAGGTCGCCAAGATGCAGCTGCAGGCCACTTCACTCCTAAGCCGCGAACGCCTCGCCGCGCGCTTGCTGCGGGAGGACATGACGGACCTCTTTAAAGACCAAGCGAAGCTGCTGGCGTGGTGCAACGAGCAGCGGGGTGCGATGGAAGGTCTGGTAACGCTGGAGGACATGCGGGAGTTCTGCAACTCCTTTGTCTCGAATGTGGCGGTGATGGACACCAACTTCCTCGTTCTTTTGGAGCGGAGCGAGCTGCTGGGGTCGAATCGTACCGTTCGAGAGGCGCTGGTGGAGGTGAACAACGCGTGGATGGAGCTCGCCGTCGCCACGTACCGCAAGATGCGCCAGATGCTGCGCGATGAACACACCGCCTCCGGTTTGGAAGCGACGTGCAAGTGGTGGCTAGAGACATTTGATACGCGCCTCACGCAGATCCTCACAGAGGCACGCGCGATCTCCAGCCACCCAGAAATGGCGGCGGAACCGCTCATGCAGGGCCTCCACGAGCGCAGCGCGGCGTTGCTGAAGGAACTCGGCCGGCCTCGCACTCTTCTGCAGCACATATCCGACTTCACGGTGCGGGAGGACTGCGTCGCACCACACGAGGGGGGACTAGAAGGTGCGGTGCTCACGCGCCTCTCCGTCTTGACACAGACGTTTGTGGGTGACGTGAGGTACGATGGCCGGAGGGAGTATATGGACCGTCTGCGGGAAGTGGGGGACTGGCTGAACGCCCACACAACAGGCAGCGGCTACACACAATTAATGAAGCGCGTGAAACAGTTGCGGTATTTAGCGGAGGAGCAGCTGCGTGCGTTGCCTGACGGCGACCGTGTGGTGCCGGTTCATTCCTAGGGGTGACGTGCGGCGGCTTGAGCGCGGGAGGGGGCGAGCAAAAAAGGTAAGACAGTAGAATGGAATCATCCACTGACCAAGACTATTGTATTTGCATTTCCTTTGGTGCCTGGTTCTCTCTCTCTCTGTGTGTGTGTGTGTGTGTGTGCCTACTTGGGTGTGCCCAAGCTGGTGCGCTTTGTGGAGGGAACAATAATAATAATAACAATAATAAGCAAAAAGTGCTGCTTTCATCCTCACTCTTTTTCTTTGTGCCCTGCAGGAGTTTTGTGCCTCCACTTGTAGCGAGTGCTCACCCCACACACCCACACACAAACGCTGCGTTGCCGCGAGGGCGCATTGCGAGACCCCGTCACACGCACACACGCACACACGCAGACACGCACAGGGACGCCCAACCCTCTTCCCCCCAGCGCCCACACGTACGAATACGAATTGTTTCAGCGAAACGGTGAGTAATACAGAAAAAGAACAAAAAAAAAACAGAAAAACGGAAGGCGGCATAAGAAGCAAAGAGAACAATACGACAAGACTATCGAATTCACTAGAGAGTAGCGCGTACTGCTGGGATGGATTCCTTGGAGACTGTGGAGGTCATCTCCGACACCAGCGCTCGCTTCCGCTACCATTGCCCGGCGAACGTGGTGCGGGAGATGACGCTCGACGGATCGCACTACACCCCACAGTTCGGTGTGGGTGGCCTCATGTGGCGTCTTCACCTGCAGCAGCGCCGCTCCGCACAGACGGAGGAAAATTTCCTCGCCGTGCACCTTCAGAGCTGTTCCAGCGAGGCGGTTGTGGCACAGTTCAGGCTGACGCTGCTGTGCTACGAGGATCCACCCGCGTCGAAGAGCCACACGTTTCGATGCTCATTTAATAAATCCGGCAGCGCCTGGGGTATGAATCACTTTATCCCAATAGCGCGCCTCCTTCGGCCGGAAAGCGGTTTCCTGTACGTAGATGAATCCACTGGCCTGCGCTACTTTGGCATTGAGGTCACGCTGAAGATAGTAGATGCCGGTGGTGGAGGTGGAGGCGTCGGCGACAGGAGTATTTCGCGTATTCGCTCCAGCTCTCCCTCTGCGCAGTCTATTCAGTTCCACGACCCGGGCCGCTCACTGCTGCGAATGCGGCATACTGCTGAGAACACCAACGGCAGCACAGCGCGTTCTGTGTCTACGGTTCGCCGCCTCGGTGGGGCGCCGGTGCGGAGTCCAAGTAGTGGCGGCACACTCCACGCCGTGCGGGCGCCGTTGTTGTACCCGTTTGAGCACCTTGAAGGACTAACTGATATGTCGTTTGATGTGCAGGGCGTCCGTGTGGGGGCGCACCGCTGCGTCGTTGCGGCTCGCATGCGACCCCTCCTGCCGGAGCACGTGCTGCCGCTGCAGCCCGGTTGCATCGTAGCTATTGCGGTTCCACTGGACGTCTTCTCCGCCTTTCTTCGGTACGTGTACACGGAGGAGGCCCCGGAACAGGGTGTGCTGCCCCCCGAGGCGCTGTTAGATTTGTACCTGCTCTCTGCTGCCTGTGAGTTCTACGACCTCTGCGGTTCATGCCTCAAGTTTGTGCGTCCGCTCCTCTCGCCAGAGAACATACTTCCCATTGTGCTGACGCGGTACAACGCGGGGGATGAGGTGCTCAACGCGCTCTATCTCCGCGTCCTCCTCGACAACTACGACTCGCTCATACAGGACCCACAGTTTGAGGAGATTCCTGGCCACTTGTTCCGCCGCCTCTCCCTCATCCTGCGCGACAAGGAGCCGGTGCCGCAGGTGGCTATCCCCGCGTCAAAGAACACGCTTAGCAAGCAGCTTGCTTGGCTGGCGGAGTCCGGGGAGTACAGCGACATGGAACTAGTGGTGGGTCCCAAACATGTGGTGGTGAAGACGCACCGCTACATTCTCGCTTCGCGTTGCATTCTCTTTTCGCAGGCGATGAACCCCCGCTCGTCGATAGCGGTACCGCCATTAACCTCCGCGGAGTTTGACTTCTCGCAGCGGTCGTGGCAGAAGCTGCTGACGGGGATTTACAGACACCACCTCGAGTCGTTCCGCGACTTCTCCGCCGAGGATGTGGCGATTGTGTTCAAGATGCACAACATCTTCGGCATGGACGGGCAGCTCAAGAAGGAGGCGGACGACGCCTTCAACTACCAGAATGCACTTCGCCTGCTGATATACGCCGTGAAGCACCAGGTGCTGGAGCTGCACGAGCGGGCCATCATCTATGTCGCAAGCAACTTCAGTGCACTCATCCGCAATGACCCGCAGGCGTGGGAACTCATCAGCGAGTTGCCGCAGCACGCGGTGGTGACGCTCTTCCGCACGGTGGTCGAGAATCAAACCTGATATATATATATAGAGAGAGAGAGAGAGAGAGAGAGAGAGAGAGAGAGAGTGAGAGAGAGTGTGTGTGTGTGTGTGTGAGGGAGGGAGTGAGAAACGAAAGAACATTGTTGGTGCGAGGGGGTGAGGAGGGACTCGATGATACGAAGAGAAAACAACACGAAGGTGCAGCCCTACATGTGTGGTGCCCCTTTCCGCACGCATCCCCCCTAGTGTTGAGGACGGCTCGATGATTGTGTGCATGCGGTGGGGGAAGCATGCAGCCCACAGGCACTGAATCCGGAGTAATGAGAATCTCTGTACAAGCTGCACGCGTCCTTGCCAACGTGGCGTGCCGTAGATTTTTTTTGTTTGGTTCTTCTTGTTTTGTGTTGGCTGCGTGTCACAGCAAGTTTCGCCTTTGTCTTTCGACGACACTGATTCGCCCCTGCAGTCACGCTTGTTACGATTATTATTATTGTTGTTATTTTTTGTTGCTCGTTGCCTTGCGTATTGCTGCAGAACGAAAACCCCTTCTTGCTCTCTCTCTCTCTCTCTCTCACTCACACACACACACGCGGGTCTCTCACCTTGTCTCTGTTCTTCTCCCATGAACGCCTTGCTGTGCCTCTGTGGTCCATCGCAGTGGTGCTGAGACGACACAGATGGAGAAGGGGGCGCCGCTCACAAAGGTGTGTGTGGCCGACACCGTTGTGCAGGCGTGCCTCGCGCACGCTTTGACAACAGAACAGGAGGAGGTGATGGGCGTGCTGCTCGGTGAGGTGACGGTGCACCACGCCACTACCCCCGCCGTTGCCGCCGCTTCGCCAACGTCATCGCACACGGGCACTGCTGCCGCCAGGCAAACATTGCACAAACGCGCCAATGTGTGGGGCTCGTGGATCCTCCAGCGCAGTGTGCGGCGGTCAGACCGTGTGGAGATTGCACCGGAGATGCTCGCCAGCGCTACTGAAGAGGCAGATCGCTGCACGGAGGATATTGGATGCCCTACACGTGTCATTGGTTGGTATCACAGCCACCCCCGCATCACGCCGTACCCGTCGCAGGTTGACCTCCGCTCACAAGAGACATATCAGATGCTCGAGAGCGGGTGGGTGGGGCTCATATTTAGCGTTTTCTATAGCGACATGTCAAACCGAAATGCTGTGTCCATGCATTGCTTCCAGACAGGCCCAGGTGGGACGCACGAAAAGATCGACGTGGAGGTTGTTCCTGTTTCTAAGATGCCAGTTCGCGCACTCCCACCGTGTGACGTCACGCACCGCCTCCTGCATATATTTCGCGCTGAGGTGAGGGCTGCTGTGGAGTTGGTGCGGCAGCGGTGTAAAGGTGCACCTGACGCAATGGCGGCGGCGTTCGCCCTGCAGGAGGTGCAGCTCTACACCCTTGAGAAGTTAATCGCTCAGCCCGCACTGAGGCAATTGCGGCTGTCAATTTCCCTTATGGAGCGGGAGGTGAGACGTTTAGAAGAGGAGCTTTCCGCACTCCCGTCTTGATGCCTTTAGTGAGGGAACACTTTTTTTTTTTGGTTTGTTCTCCATATTTGTTTTCTTTGCTCTCAAGTGCTCCCTTGTTTCCAAGCTCCTACGCCATTCGAGACAGCTGGAACGAGACGAAACCTGAACGAGGACCTCTCATTGGGTGTCTGATTTCGACGATGCTACCTGATGGATGGCCTTCCTGCAGTGCTCTCTTCTTTTTTTTATTATTTGTTTCTCCCCCTTCCCTTTGTTTCTCCGCTTCCTAGTTGTGCTGTTTGTACCGGCTGTGAAGAGGCTGCGTAGAACGCCGCCTTCCAGGCACGCTGCGGAATGCCCACCGAGTGCCTTGGCGACCAGTGGCTGTATGATTGGGGCAACAGCAACAACAGCAGAAACAACAACAACAAGAAGAAAAAGGGAGATGTTGGCACAGAGGAGGCGCCGCACTTAATTACCTTCTCTGCAGCGACAGAGAACCGCATTCCGCCGCTGCACCACAACTTAAGTTCCGCTAGATCCATTCTCGAGTCAGGACCGAGCCGAATGTGGTCATTAGATGATTTTGAGATGGGACGCAAGCTGGGTGAGGGACGCTTCGGCAAGATTTACCTTGCGCGGGAGAGGCGGACGAAGTGCGCGGTTGTGCTGAAGTGCCTCTCCAAGGACATGATCCACTATCACGATCTGGCGCACCAACTGAGACGCGAAGTTGAGCTGCAGGAGTACGCAGGGCGTTATCACCGCCATGTTCTGCGCCTCTTTGCGTTTTTCTGGGACGATGTGCGGGTGTTTTTAGTGCTGGAGTACGCAGATGGGGGAAACTTGCAGAAGCTGCTCGACAGCCGGCCGCAGCAGCGCCTGTCGGAGGATGAGACGCGTCATGTCCTGCGTCCACTCTTGTCGGCGCTTGCTTTCATGCACGATCGGGACATCATTCACCGCGATGTAAAGCCAGACAACATTCTATTCAAGGCAAATCATGTGAAGCTGGCGGACTTTTCATGGGCGGTGCGCCTCGACCGCAGAGATCCGCGCCACAGCCGGCGCTACACGCTGTGTGGCACGCTCGACTACCTCGCCCCAGAGCAGGTCTCGAAGCGTGGCTGCACAACAAAGGCGGATGTGTGGGCTGTCGGCGTGCTCACGTACCGCATGCTATGCGGCTGTCTGCCGTTGGAGCATCTCTCGACATGGGAGATATGCGCCCGCATTGCCAAGGGCGATATAGAGTACCCTGCCGACATTTCACCAGAGGCGCGTTACTTCATGGAGGCTCTGCTGTGCGTCGATGAGTCCACGCGCTTTTCATGCAAGGAGGCCCTGCAACACCCATTCCTTCAAGGAAGGGGTTCTAGTCCATTTATGGCCTCTGCCGAAGGCGTCGGTTGTGATGAAACGGAACTGCCGAGTGCAGTGAGCCTTAATATTTCAGGTACACCTCTTTGCTGCGACCTCAACGTTGCAGAGCTGCCAGTACACAGTCCTGAACCGACCGTCCATGTACAACATCACCATGAGCATCATCTGCAGCATGATCGGCGCCCACAGCACCAACATTCAGAACAGCAACAACATCAAAATCATCACCAACGACCAATCATATGCGGCAGTAGTGGCGCTAGTGCCTCTTCTAAACGGCCCGCCATGGGTAGTGGTGGTGGGGGTGGTGGAGGCAATACTGCTGCGGCCTGCAGTTCGCCACTCTCGTGCGTCAGCTTTGTTACAGTGAGTTCTTCCCATTCAACCGACTGCATCCCGAGCTTGTACAATGCGAGCATTCCTAGTTTGTCCCCCGCCCACCGCGCCCAGTGGCTCCCATCAAGTGTTGCTTCTGCTGCTGCTGCTGCTGCTGCTGCCACCGCCGTTGGTGTGACGTCGAAGAGTGGCTACGAAGACGTGGGGTTGTCGAGCCAAGGGGCGAGTTATAGTCGGCCACGCCTTCACTGCAGCACGAGCGACCGGAGCTGCACAACAATGACGCAGCAGTACACGCAGCTCGGGCCTTCTCCCACGTCTTCGCTGGTTGTCATTTCGCATATGATCGACGACGACGGTAACGGACAAGCGAGACCGGAAGAGGAGTGGAGGGACGAGAGGGAAGAGGATGAGGAAGAGGCGGTCAACTGCGTTCATCGGCTGTGCTTCGATGACAGTATTGTGTCTCTGTCTCAGTTCACTGCCGTTTCGGCGACGACGGAAGATCTCGGCGGGAACGCCACGTCGCGGGCCGCCACCCCGTCTCTTTAGTGCGGACTATTTGTGAAGGTTGTTGTTGATGAAGCTTTTTTTTTGTTTTGTTTTGCTTTCCCCTTCAACCCACACGAGGGACCACGACCCGACCAAAGAAGAGCAGCTGGTTTGCCGTTGTGCTCGTTGTGGCCCCCCCCCCCCCCCC